AGTGCAGTGTTAATGTACTGGAGTGTCCAGTCGGTGTGTCTGTATTAACCTCTCTCTCAGTGCAGTATTTTCCAGTGTGTCTGTATGAGCCACTCTGTTTACGCTGGCACAGATATTCTGTAACGAGAGAACAAGAGGAAGTGTCCCAGATTATTTTTGTCAGTGGTGCCCCAGAATGCACCCTCTGGTGTTCTTAAGGAATGAGCTCATGTTCCAGTCCAGCCAGGGCGTGTTAGTGTAAACACACCGCTGTCACGTTCAGTCGGACTGGAGGAAATTCCCAGGGAGAGCTGCCTGCCTCCCGGCAGCGCTGTCATGTTCCCAAACTTCTTTCTGACGTTGGAGCTGGAGGAGGAAGCGCAGGCAGCCAGACCGATACCCCGACTCCCCTGGGCTGGGGCTTCCTTGCCACATCAGGTGATGGTGTCACGTCCACGACACGTCAGCCTGCCTTTGGACTGGATAGCGCACGTTCCCAGGCTGTGCTCAGTACTGGTGGGGGACCGGACGTGCTGGAGGAAGTCTCTTCCTGTAGTTAAAGAGGAACTGCAGCCCAGTCTCTCATGAAGCGCTAGGGATACCAGTCACCCTGGTTTCTCTCCTTCTTTCCCTCTTGGAAGCGTTACAGGAGCACGAAGGCACGAACGCCCCGATTCAGAGGCGGTTTCTTCCCGCTAGCTGTCAGATTACTGAACTCTACCCCTACCACCGGCGCACACTGATGGAGTTTTTTCTCATACTGCTTGTCTGACTTCTGTTTTTTATTCAACTCGTTGTTGTTGTTGTTGCTGCTGCTGTTCTGTGTTTGTGTTTCTGGTGATTGTCTTTGTATCGGCGCATACATGCCAATAAGCGTTTCGTTGCACCCGTGCGTACGACAGATAGACTGAGCCGCACTTCTTAAATCTCGGGAGCAAAATAAATTCGTCGACGTCGAGGAAAAAAGTGAAAGTGCTGTGAGTCTCTGTGTTGACCCGACTTGCACTCGGGGTCCCCCGAATTGTGTCGTGTTATAGTCCTTCCTGCTCACTAGTCTCCACGTTGACTGATGTACCGTGATGGACGAGCGAACAAACACAGGCTGGGCAGCAGACAGCCTGCTTGTGCACGGTGTCCTAGAGCTGCCCACGTCACTGGAAGTTTTGTTGCCTCGTTCTGAATTGCAGAACAAGGTGCTGCTCATGGCTGGAAATTCCGTCAATTGTGTGATGCAAATTCGAGGTTTTACGAGTTACTGTGTACATTTGACTGTTTGAAATGTCCTCATCGGTGCTGATTCTTTCTCACCCTGAAATATAAAGATAGTGCTGCAGTCTGCTTTAACGGTCTGTATTTTGCAGTGTTTGGATCATCCCCTTCGCCTGTTTGCTTGTGTTAACGTGCTGTAGGGCCCCCTCTGTCTTTTTCAGTGTTTGTTACTGTGCCCCAGTGCCTGCTCATCATTCTCCCAGTGCAGTGGAAGCGTGTGCGCACTGGGCGCCCCGTCTTCCAGTGATGCGTTACCAGCGCTCTGTGCAGCGTCTGTAAGCGCCCCCCGTGTCCCTCTTTCAGACGGCCCTGCACATCGCTGTCATCGTGAACCAGCCGGAGTGCGTGCGCGGGCTGCTCTGCGTGGGGGCCAGCCCGGACCTGCAGGAGCGCAGCGGAAACACCGCGCTGCACATCGCGTGCCGGGAGGGCCTGCGGGAGTGCGTGCGGGAGCTCGTCTCGCACAGTCTCAGCCGGGCGCCGCTGCACACCACCAACTACGCAGGCGAGTCCGTGGTCCGCAGTCTCTCCGCCCCCCCCCCCGCGGCCGCCGGTCGGGGAGGGGGTTCCTGAACGGGTTGTGATTGTGATTCCAGGGGTGACCCCGCTCCACATCGCCGTGCAGAAGGTGGACGAGGGGGCGGTCCGGCTGCTCCTGCACGCGGGGGCTGATGCGAACCGGCGGGTGAGAGACCGATTCCTCTTTCCCCGTTAACCATCGGCTCCACTGTGCAGAACGATATCCGCTTTTGCAGTTGCACACCAGGCTTACTTTGTAAAAGCTGGATTTAAAAAAAAAAAATGAAATGGGCTCATTCTCCCCCCTTTATGGTTCTGGAAAGAATTTTGCTCGTTGTCAGAAAAGGACTGGAGTGGAGTTCCGGTGCCACAGATGTCGTTTTTGCCCCTGCTCAGCACAGAGAGCGCGGGATCTGTTGAGAACAGCAGGGAGTGGCTTCTGCACCACAGCCTGCTGTGGATAAACTGGCCCGGCCCAGGCTGCTGAGCAGCAGGGCTCTGACCGGTGCCCTTGGCTGTGCCCGTTGTTTCAGGACCTGAGCTCGGGCCGCACTGCTCTGCACTGGGCGGTGGAGAGTCAGAGCGCCGCCCTGGTCCGGCTGCTTCTGAGCCGGGGGGCCGCCGTGGACGCCCCCTCCTACGCCGGGCACACGCCACTCTACTGCGCCCTCCACAGGCCCAGCGAGGCGGTGCGCTCGCTGCTGAGGGAAGGAGGGGCCGTCGAGCCACTGGAGGAGGACGAGGAGGAGGAGGATGATGAGGAGGAGGACGACGAGGAGGAGGTAGATGAGTTGGAGAGAAAAGAGGTGAGAGAGAATGAGGAAGAGTGGGACACTATCAATTCGTCTAACTTATAATAACTTTGTGATGTCTGTATGTGTAACATTTCATAGCCTCACAGTAGACCTGTTTAAATAGGCCAGGTCTGTAGGCATGGCAAGTCATTGACCGGAACTGGAATTTGACAGCTGTCCTGTAACAATATGGGCAACGCTGCTCTTTCAAACAGTTCCCACAGTGTCCTGGGGGCACTTGAGCTCGGACAGTAAGTACTGGCACTGGCCATCTCCATCTGACCCATCTGTCTCCATTTGCCGAGACACGTCTTCAACTTCACGGGCAGCGCTAAGTTGCTGTATTGTACAGATCCTCAATTCCAGTCCTCCGGATCAGGATTTCAGCAGACTTTCAGTTTTTCTCTGAGTAGAAATAATAATGATATTCTAACACTTATAGCGCTTTGCTGGTAATGGGGACTCTCCTCCACCGCCACCAGTGTGCAGCCCCACCTGGATGATGAGACAGCAGCCATAGTGCGCCAGT